CATGCTAGGTGATGTTTGACCTCAGCAACTGAAAAACAGGCATTAAATACCTTTTTAACCTACATCTAAGATCCACTGAGGATTACATACAGCCTGAACAATGAAAAACGCCAGCTATTACTAGATTACTGAAATATGTAATTAATCTTTCTTTTTTGATTATATAACAACAGCAATTTTATATTGGATTTTAAGTTAGTTTTGAACATTTAGAGAGGATTATGGATATTGGCAGGAGGTAACTGAAAGAAAACAAATCACTTAACTATTTTAAAGATACCTAATACCTTCCAATGGGATACACGATTATTAATTTTCTCTGAGTAGAGAAGTTGTTGAAATTTTGATATTGTAAACTTAACCTATAACCAGCAGTTTCTGCCCACATTTCCTTACTCATGGAATTAAATATTGTAGTAGGTATTTATAGCAATATTGTAGCCATTCAGAATTTGGTGGGAAAGTCACCTTTTGTCTCTCTAGTGAATGTTATGTGATTAGCAATATGGTAATATCTTTAAATGATATAGTCAGCATATAGTAAGTACACTAGATTGTGCCAGCTAATCATAAGCCACTCTCTGAGACACCACACATATCCTGCACTGTTCAAGTTCTGGTTCAAATGGAAGGAACTCGCAGTGAGCAATGTTAGTTCTCCCTCCTCTTAGCAATTTTGGCACGTGCTCTTACCAACATTGTATTTATTTATGTATTTATTTATTTATTAAATACTTATAGATGTGTTGAGGTGATTTGTGTGGTTTGAAATCTATATAGAGTAATGTATATTTGATAACAGGCAAGAATGTACATGTTCTGCATGTATACTGGGCTTTCGTTTATATTAATCTAACTGGCATTATAATAAATAGAATTATTAAGGCCTATTATATTACAGTTTTTTGGGGAGGACTGATACTGAGATTATAATAACTGTATACCTGAAACATAACTTCTACAATCGTATGGGTTTTTTGTATTACAGAATATATTTGTCTTGTTTCAGAGGGCAGTGGGGGAATATGTTACCTTCAGGTGACCTTAAATCTTGTTCTCTTACTGAATATCAATTTCAGAAAACTTCTGAAAATTCAAAAATAAAAAATATTTTCAGCCTTGGCTTCAGGAAAAGGAGAAATACAGCATTAAGATACAAGCCAGTACAGTTTTAGCTGTGCACCCTGGAGCTGGTTTTAGCCACTGAATAGCCTACAAGCACTCCAACTTAAATATTTGGAGATACCAAAGTGTTCCAGCACTTCACAGACCTGAAGTGCCTTTTCCAGCAGCTATAACCCCTCTCACTGCCTTTCCTTGGTGCTGGTGTTGAAGGAGATATGTAAAAATCTCTTCAGTGAGGTCTAGAAGTATCAATCAGCAATTAGTGATGAAGGCTGTGGAAGAGAAATGTAAGGAATTTACTGCTGTTGAATTATTCAGCCATGGTACGGGATATGAGAGGAGTCACTGTAATGCTAGATAAAGTGTAAGGATAAAGAGATAGTGAAGTTCTGAAATTAAATAGTGTTGCTGAAGTAGAGCCATTTGAATGGAGGTCAGGCATTAGCAGTTTCTCGTTGCTGTGGCCCATATAAGGTTTCAGCAGGCAATTCAGCCAAGGTAGTGGCTGGTTCCCTTTGTTCTGGAGGATATGCACTGCCTGCAAAGGTGAGTATAAGTGCCTTTGCAGGACCGTAATTAACATTACAGTAATGTGTACCTTCATGGTATTTTCTGTATCCATGTTTACAGCCTTGCTGGATGTGGTGCTGAATGGTTCTGCCCGTAATTCAGTATCTGTTTAGAAGGAGAGATGCGACTCTTGTCATTTACAAACATGCAAGATGACGTACAAATGGCATTATCTTCTCTCTAAACTTAAATTTTAGTAGTGTTAATTAAAAAGAAAAAAAGTACTTTTAATCTGTGCCAAATCTCTAGTACTTAACACTGCCACATCATTCAGTGTCCTGAAGACAGCGATAAAAGGCATCCCTTTGTGGCCATGCCCCTGCCTCCCCACTCCAGTTCTTTGTGCTGCCAGCTGTGCCCAAAACTGGGAAAGGATCTACAATACACTAACAGAACACATGCACTGATAGATCCACTGTGCCCTTGAAAAGAATAAATGTTTTTTTTCAAATTGCTGAGACAGAGTACGCATCTCCCGATGAGCTGATTGCCAGCTAGGCCACATGTACTCCTACGTGTCTGGGTGACCAGATATCATATAGACACATTCTTGTCAGGAGGTATATGCCTGCTGATCGGCCAGCCAGCAGGAGCACATTTGCTTGCGTTAGTCTGCTGCCTCTTCCAGGAGATACATGCTCTTTCCCAGACTTTTAGAAAACCAAATGGCACGTGCAACTTGTCACCCAGCAGTGGATCAAAAAATTACCAGGGCACATCTGCATCTGCAGCCTGTAATACAGCCTGAAGAATGTCGAAACCCAGACTGTTTGAAACCTTCTAGATAAAACACATGAATATTTAGAATCATTTAGGTTGGAAAAGGCCCTTAAGATCAAGTCCAGCTGTAGGTCAATAACATTTTAACCAGAATGCATCTATAGAGGGCTATTCAGAGACTTTAGAGTGAGTTGCATCTTGTAAATGGCTCCATGAAAATTGTATCAGGAATGAAGTGCTACTTTAGGATGGTAAAATAAACAAAAAGCAAACTCAAATCTTTGCATATCTATTTTTCAGGTGTTACGTGTTCATTGAAATAGTTATTAGATAAATGAAACAGACGTCCAGTATACAGTGTTTGCTTTACTCCTATCCTTAGATGTCTGTTGGCAGTACTTTTACAGACTACTGTAGAGATAAAAACTCAAAACTTTCTGCAGTGTTAGCATTGCACATTCTTTATTGTGTAACTAATTTACAAAATTATAAAAATAACTTTTATATATGCAAAGCATGAATCAAATTAACAAAGTAAAAAAATAGTACTGTGTTTTTTCAGTTTTTTAAAAAATACATGCATGTGAGATTTAAAAAGTAATTTGATGTCAAAATAAAGACTCTTACTTGAATAGGGATATATAAATACATTCTGTAGTTCCCATATAACTCTGGGAGTTATTCAGTTGACATCAGTTCCAATAAACTAATTTCCTGCAGTGATATAAACATTGTTTCACTATTTGCCTCCCTCTATTCTATCACATATTCTGTAGGCATACTCCTGTCTCTGAGAAGTTGAAGGCAGCTGCTTTAACAAACTTGAGGTGAAAACACAATCATTTTGCCCTCATCTAGCAAGATGAGATGCTACATTTTGGAGGACAGCATCACAACCACTAGTTACTTAGTAACAACAGCTATACCTCCTCAAATTCACTGCTAGCACCCTGCAATGCATCCCATCCAGTTGTTAAGACTTGGATATGTCAGATTTGCCTTAGCGGTTCCTAAATCAATCATCATCGACTGTTGGTAGTATTTCTCCCCACCAAAATCTGTTCCTAGGACCTAGGAGGTGTGAGACCAGGCCTTGCCAGTAAAGATTCTGATGCTTTGTGAGCAATCTGCAGTACTGTTGTAGTTTTTGGTGTGTTAGAGGTACCAAAAGGAAAAAAAAAAAAAAAAAAGGCATCAGTGCCTGAACAGCTCCCATTGGTACTGCTCTGATCGTTAGCAGAATATATGTACAGATACATAAGCTTTGTAATCACTATGCACACACACGGTGTTTGAGTTAGTGATCTACGGTTCACATTTGAACTTTAGACCAGTAGCTAATGAAAAATTCCTATTTTTCTTAAATGTCACATTAAAAATAGTGCAAGGTGTGAGTTAATTTAATGCCATATTATTTCTTTATATATGCAGGTATAAAACAGTGCAATAGAACTGCTTGTGATACAGCTATTAAAGCCACGCAATCCAAAAAGTTATGACATTGGGGCAGAAAGGGAAAAAAATAGACAAAAAATGTAGTCAGCGTTCAGGATGTGCCCACTGATTTTTCAGGGTGAGGATTCAGACACATGATCTGTTAGTATGGGAAAGCATGTGGTTGTAATTCAGAGCGTAACTGATAAAAATGAGGGGATCCGAAACGTTCTTCCTTGTTTTTCTTATTATTTTTTATTGTGATGTACTGTGCAAAGTAGCTATCCTTACTAACAGCTCTGAGGGGAATCAATTAATATGTGAACCTTCTGATTTACAGTCACTGAACCATAAGTGTTATATATTTTGACTGTAACAAATTTTACTTTGCTACAAAAAAACCCTGTGATTTTTTGTCACATGGCCTTGAAGGATTCTAGGAGTTCACTGCTAAAAAAATATGTATTTGAACCTTACCTCTTCAATCAAATAACACTGTAACAAGAGACTACAGAAATTACTGACTACATCTTTTTGTGCTCTTAATTCTGAGCAGAATTAATTGCTGCATCAAAACCAAGATAAATCAGAGCCAGCGGTGAAATGATCCATGGACTACACTAATTCAAAAAGAGATGTGGAGCAATAACATCTTCCTTTCTGGGAGAGTTACTGCGTGAAACTGTCACAGTAATCACTAATTGTATGTCCAGTAAAGTTGGATATAATCAGTTACACAGCTTGTAGTAAACAGTTTTGGAATAAAAGACTGAGTCTTCTCTGATTTAATTTATATGAGACATTGCTTTGATTATTACTAAGACTTTGTTTCTTGTGGAACTTGAAAATTATCAGTATTTGATACACATTTATGTGGCCAAAAATTGTTAACTGTCACCATTTTTGTGTGTGGAAAAAGCCGGTCAGTTTTCATTTAAGGGTATGTATAATACTCCAGATTGCCAGATTACGTCATTGCAGATCACTCTGTCCTCAGGTTTGGCATTGGGGGGAAAAATAAGGGGCTTTCACTGCATCCGTTGATATCCTCACAATAGGTGAAGACTTTTTTTTTTCATCTGCAGCTTTTGATAACACAGTTTATAAATTTTGTAGAAATGTTGTGTGGTCCTGGGAAGTGTTAATAGAGACAGGAGTGACAGGGGCTTTGGTGTGGTTCCCATGTGAAGATCTCATCTGTCTCCTCTGCTCTCTCTGATGTAGGTTGAGAAGGAATCTGAAGTAACAGCAGAAGTTGAATTCTAAAAACCAGAAGTTACAAGATGTGAAGATTTGGCCATTATTGGATTTTTTTTTTTCCTCAAAGATTACAAGGAAATTATTGATGTCTCTTTGGATTTGTTATCTGTGTCTTTGTAATCTCAAAACCAGACAAAATGAAGTATGTCGAACTTAACACTGCCTTTTAAGAGCATTCAGAAGAAAAAGGGGATTGCCTATTTTTTTAGAAGCAATGCTTTGTATTAGAAACATGTAAAAACATCAGCATGTGGTAGGCTAAACTGGTTGCCTAGTTCTTAAACTTCCTCAAGAAGGCATTGTTTTTAACCAGTGTCTTACCTAGTTTGTGACCTGAATACTCGAGTAGCTGTTTCTTTCCATATTTGATACTCCTAGCAAGTATGCAGAGGCACGCTTATAGTCTCTTACTTCAAGAAGAAAGGAGCTATTAGCACATGATTTTTGAGATCTGTAGTCCTAAAAAATAATTTCCATTGTTTGGATTTTTCCAAGTTCTGGTGAATAATGTGGAATAGTTAAGAAAGAAGGCACAAGAAGGTTAACGATATCTGTGCTCATTAATTTTTGTATTGGGAGTATTACACATTCATTTTATTTCAAATTCTGCTTTAGGTAACAGTGACTTGAAGTTGACTGCTTTGCACTAGTTTGACTAATTAAATGAACACTCAGGACTTCAGATATAGGAAAATTCCAAACGTACAGATAAGGAAAGGAGAGCCCAGATTGTAAATTGCCTTCTGAATAAAACCTTTCCTAATGGAGTTTCTCTGTATGAATGCCAGCTTAGCATCTTATGCTTGAGAGCCTCTCTGAAATAAGAAAAGAATTTTTCTTGAGTAAGGAAATTGGGATCTGTCTTTTTGCATTCAATGGTTTGTGTATTTTGTTATTGTTTTATTTTATTGCTCTTTGATAAAGGTTTTTGAAATAAATTTAACTCCTGCATGCATTCCCCCCTTGAACAACAAGATAGTTATCTTCTTTATAAAAGAAATGGATTTCCAAAACTAAGGTAGTAAATGAGTAGTATTATAACCCTGAGGTATCACTTACTTCTGTTAAAGCTAGTGAATGATTTGCCATCAGAATAAGAAAATACAAAACAACAAATAAAGCTCTGATGTGTAGCTGTCATTATTAGTTGGTAGTATTAACCAAGCATGTGTTACCTGTCATCATCAATGGTATCCAGGTCGAGGCAGACAGAAAGGCGTACCTTTAAAAACTTGCTTTGTGTTTAGACCATTCCCAGAGAAGAATGTCGATACTTTGGGTGAACGTGTTTAACGTGGCAGCTGCTGGATCACTGACTCAATGCAGCGCATAAGAAAGACATCTCCTGAATTTTACAGCACGGCGCTGTCTGAGGAAGCCTTTCCACCCTGACACTTCCCTCTGCCTTGCACACACCCATTTAAAAATGTTTAGTGGATTTCTAGTATTTCTCAATGTGGGTTATGCTGTGTAAGCCATCTACGGTGTGACTGACTTATCATACATCGTGAGTATTTCTGGCTTTCAGGTTTTAATTTATTGTACATTGAACAAAACATCTAAGACCTGAAGGAATGATTCACTCTGCAGCACGGGTCGTGGGCTTTCACACAGAATCCTGCAGGCAAGCAACTCAGACCTAGCTAAAGCAGACCCCTATGGAAGTCTTCCACTGGTGAAACAGCAAAGTGGGTCTCGCTCTCTCTGGATCTAATCTCCCCCTTACTTTCTATGTTCCGTAATAGTTTTGCTACATCCCAGCTGCATGCATGTATGTTCAGCCTCACTCTTTGGCCTGCTCTAAACCCCTGCATTTTAAGTCTGTGATTCCCCTTGAGTGCAATCGTTCACGCTGTCATTTGATGCATAAATATTCCCACTTTAGCTCCAGCAAAGCCAGCCCTGACCCTGCTCGGCTCCCACTCCGCTCACTCGTGCTGGCTGCAACACGGCACTTCCCACGTGGCTGCTAGCAAGGGAAAACTGCGCACCAGCTCTCCTGGGCTTCTCATCCTTCTCCCTGGTTTTTCTTTCTCTTTTCCTAGAGCGAGAGCGGCTGCGCTAACGGAGACCCTTCCAAACTGGACACCTTTCTTGTGAAACAGAGTGGAATAGTTTTGAAGTATTTCCTTAAATAGCTGTGGGTGTGAAATGGAATTACAGAGGGATCTCAGTATCTAAGTCTTTAAAAAGACGTCTTTTTTAAATAATACAAGACTTAAGTCTCAATATTATGCTCTAACCTTTATGTACACACACACACTAGAATGGAGCCCTTCTGATATGTATTTTAGATATATTTTTTAAGTAATTATTATGAGAAAAGTGGATGTCTGCTTCTTGGTGGTAGCTGGGAGAATAGAATATTAAACTCACTTAAGCTTCCTTTTTGCAACTTGTCTCTGAGAATTTTGTGATTTAAAAAAACCACATGTTTTAAAATATTTGGATTTATGATGCTGGATGGAAAAATCTAGAGAGGACAATTTTAAAGAGGGGTAGGAAAGCAAATTTGAAACTTCTTTATTGTTTTAGAGTTGTTAATGAAAATGTTCTTTAAAAGACGTTGTAATTTTAAATGGAATTTTGATTAAGACATTTTTGGAAGCTAAATTACTTTGATCAGCACATTTGGAAGGAGAGATGAAATTAAAAGTGTTTGTCCTATTTTCTTTTTCAATGTTAAAATCTTTCTTACAGCATACCAGAAAGGCACTGATGTGTTCTAGTATTCTAGTATTAAGAAGCAGCTCTACCTTTAGTAATTTAGAAAATACAATAAAAATTATTTTGCTACACTGTAATATATTTAGCATAACTGCAGAATATGCTGTAGTCCTGCAATACAGTAACAACATGGCATTTGAAGCAAGAGAAAAAAGTATTTCAATGGAAATTTTAAAAATGTTTGGTTTTGGGATGCACTCCCATATGAAATGTTGAGATTTCCCCATGAAGCAGAAGTTGTGAGTTTCAGCCTATTTTGACTCTCCCAGGGCTATGTCTCACCTTTGATTTACTCCCAAACTACAGCTGGGATTGGTGGGACCTGATCAGATAGAGCCCGTGTGCGGCTTTGCACCACAACTGTTTTACTCGGATGAGCGACATTTCAGCTGGTCCGTCAGTGATACCAATATCCACACTTCCTCTTAGCAGCAAACAAACCTACTTGTTAAATCCATATACAGAAATGGGAATGGGAGAAAATGAACAAATTGGAAAGAAGTACCATGGATGTTCATGCTGAATTGTAGCTGTAAAACCAGAAAATAATTTAACATGAAGGGAGCAAAGTGCACCTGGAAAAAGATCGCTCTGTCTCTGGTAGAACTTTTCCTTACCTAAATCACAGTGGAAATCTGGCTCTTCTGTGACCCTGGCATTTCTTAGATTTGAAATATACTGTGGAAGGTAAAGCAGGAAAGTAATTCTCAGACATTTATCTGGGAAAAAAATAAGAAGAAACAGCTGCAGCAGCTTGTTACAGCTTTAGACTTAAATAGTGGGTTGAGGCAGGAAAATAATCACTGGTTCTCTTTGTGGGTACAACAGAGGAGGAGTCTTCTGGTGGGAGAAAGTCTTGATGGGGCAAAAAGGAACTATCTCTACCTTTATATCCATTTGGGGTTTTTTTAATGTATCTAAAGCACCTCTTCTTTGGTAACAGTGTTAGCAGCCAGGGTGGTCTCTCCAAACCCTGCTCACCAATCTCACTATGCAATCCCTCTAACCACACTGTGCAGCAAGATGGATCTGGAGTTGCCAAAATATGGTAATTGGGGTTCAACCACTTCTCTTCCAACTCCTTCCACTGGATTTCCTCCGCTGAGGCTGAACTCAGCACGTGTACAATGTGAAAGTCAAAACAATGAGTAACTTTGTGTTGTTAATTACATTAGAGCCCAGAAGAAGGGCACAGCACTCATGATGTGCTAATTTTGTGTGGCTGGGAAGTCTCAGGAAGTTTGGACACCCACACTTAAGACCTCTGTCTATCACTGACCTATATTACCGTTGCTGAGGGTCCCACAGTCCAGCTAAAAGTGCTTTTGGAGCAGACATTTCTTGGGCAGGCAAACACAGAACGCCCCATTGGGGTACGGGAGAGCTGATCCCCAGACGTGTGCTGGACCTGCTCAGCGCGTTTGGCAACCGCAGAATGAACCAGGAGCCCCGCGGAACGGGGACTGGCAAGGCGAGTGTCCCCGCTCCCCGGGGAGTCCGGGGTCGGTGCTCCCACATCACGCCGCGGTGTCAGCGAGGCTGTTTGCAAGTTTAAGGACAGTTCAAGCACTGTTTGTTTGAGCCCCGGGGGGTGGCTGAGTGAATCACAAAGGTTTTAGCTGCAGAAAGGTTTCGGCAATGCTCCCTCGTGCTGGAGGCGGACAGAAACCTCGGGGCTGAGTCGTGGGCCGGGATGCCCGGCTGGCTCGTGGGGCAGGTGAAGCCCGTAATCATGGGCTTGTGAATACCGACAAAGGAGTTCTGGTCAGAATAACTCCTGATGAACGAAGGGAAACCCCTACGAAGGTAGCCAGCACCAGGCAAAGGTAAGTCTGGGTAAGTAAGGGCTGTTTCGCTTTTAG